TTACATTTTGTAATAATTGAGTTGGTATTTCTAATTAATATTTCTGTTTCAGCTGCTCTGGATAAGGTTCAGCATTTCTTTATTCCTCTGATATTCAGTTTTTTTTTTTTTTTTTTTATGATGAATAAGACAAAAATTAGGTTGAAGTTCTATAGTTCTTATATCCAGGGCTGGCTGATTAAACGTAAGCCTGTTTTTCACCTATGTGGAGAAAAATGTTAATGGAAGTTTTTTTTTTTTTCCTATCCAAATACGCTGAAACAGAAATTGCAACGAAACAAAATCTAATGATTTCTATTGGAAATCATTGGATTTCTTCCAATGAAATCCTCTGTATAGATTAGTAATATGGAAGGAGGTATAGATTAGTATTTTTTGTTGAAAATGTTGTTATAGAACCTCTTGGCACCATCAGTACATACTTGCATATAAATTTGAAAGTGTTGTGGTTAGTTTTAACCTTCAGTGCAGTTCTGGGGCCTTTGCTCTTGCTGCCTTTTGGTCGTCCTCTGGGCCTCTTTGGGGTCGGTGGTCCAACGGGCTCCTTTGGGGAAAGATAAAATCTGAAGCCACAACTCCCCAGATGAAGATGCCTTCTCTACCTACTATCTTCAAAGAACTTATACTTAAACCAGAACCTAAAATTAGATGCTGAGTTCTGAGATGCGGACAGCCGCTAACGTCTTACCTGCTGCTGTTTCCGAGGTCGACCCCTGCCCCTGCGCTGGGGCTCCTCAGGCGACTGGGCTGTGCTCGACTGAGGAGACGGCTCTTTGGTCCCACTCTCGCTCATGCCTGCGTCTGTCCACCTGCTTTAAAGAGTGTGGTCATCAAAGCCTGAAGCAGCGGCCTCTGAGGCTTAAAGAGGAAAAAGAAGTGACTTTAGCAGATGGAGATGTAAACACATTTAAAAATGTATTAACCTCTTTTAATACCTTTTAACAGAACAGTTAATAAGTCAACAATAGTTATATATATATATATATATATATATATATATATATATATATATATATATATATATACTTTCAGTTATTGACTTTTTAATTGGTTATGTGGAAAAGATGTTGAAGTAAGAGCTGAGTTTACAATCACAAGTATAACTGTGAACCATGCAGGAAATTTTTCCAAGAGCAACCGTGGGAACCACTCATGTTCAAGCCTTGGCACCAGGTTCATTGGAACATAGACTCTGGCAAACACTGAGAAACATGAGAGCGGTGTGCAGAGACTAAAAGTAGCACCGATATTCACAACTCAATCTGCCATTCAAGTTCTCCATCTACTGCTCTGACGTCTGCATTTCCAGCTTCCCTCTGTGAGTTGCTCTTCAGTGAGTAAGGAGGGACATTTGTTGCAGGTAAACTTAGAGGTGTGGCAGCACTGCATAAAACTTCAAGTAAAGAGACAAGCAAAAGCTTTTTTGTAAATTACCATAGCTGGATAATAACAAGGCATAAAAATGTCCGGATCCCCTGTGATTGATCTGTTTTGATTTTATACAGAAAATGTCCGATTTCTTGCTTTTAGATTCTGTCATAGCTTTGGGGTTTAAATAGAGCTGCACAATGCATTGAATAGCATTCATTATCAAAACATTAAGGTTTGAAATATTGCAATTGTAAAATGATGCTGAGGGTAGATGTTTAGCACATTATGGTTTAAGTACCATGTGCTTAAACCATATATGGAAACAGTTTACATGATGAATTAAATGGACATTGACGTCCTGAAATAGACTGAGGTACTGAAGCCCATGTGATGGGAGAATGGGAAAGATTATTGTGCAAAACAACAAGACATATTCTAACCTAAGAGATTATTTAATCCAAGTAGTCTATTCCAAATAAGACATTGATCATATTGATAAGTAATCATGATGACCAAGTCTGTTTACTGCACATTGTAACTAAAGAAAAGACAGCAGGGGTGTATCCAGCGAATCTTTAAAACTGAAAAATCCAGGTAGTTTGAGAAGTCATCATATTACCATGGTTTGCAGATATGCAACTGCAAATAATAATAATAATTTAAATTTATTGATCTCACACTGGAGAAATCCACCTCTGGATTTAACCCATCCCATTGGGGAGCAGCGGACTGCCATTGTGTGACACCCTGGGTGCAGTGTGAGGTTAAGGGTCTTGCTCAGGGACCCAGAGTGCAGGCTGTGTGGATCAAACCAGGTACTGAAACCTTCAGAGAGCACAAGCGCATTGCTCCAACCTCTAGGCCAACACTCCCCATAGACAGACGATGTAATCAACTTTAACATCATGATATATTCCTAATCAAATCATAATCAAATATCCCATCAAATAAGTGATTTGAAGGACCAATTTGTTTTACTATCACATTAGAACTAAATGTGGTCCGCTGGGCATTCTTTAACTTCCATTGACACATTTCAGATATTCTAACAAAAAATGGTGCATTTTATTAACTTAAATGGACAAACGTATATGTTAATTAACTATTGGTGTATAAAATTAGGGCTGTTCAGTGGAACAGTGGGTAGCACTGCTGCCTTGCAGCAAGAAGGTTCTGAGTTCGATTACTGCATGGATTTCTGCATGGAGTTTGCATGTTCTCCCTCAGCATGCGTGGGTTCCCTCCGGGTACTCCGGCTTCCTCCCACAGCCCAAAAACATGACTGTTAGATTAATTGACTTGTCTAAATTCTCCTTAGGTGTGTGTGGTTGTTTGTCTCTGTGCTGCCCTGCGATGGACTGGTGACCTGTCCAGGGTGTACAATGGGCTTTTTCGTGAAAAAGCATGTCAGATAATGGCTGGATGGATGTATAAAATTAATGAATATATGTTTAAGTGTAAAGGTGGATCCTCACAATTGGCACTTGGAATGAATACATGAATGTATATTGCAACTATTTAGAGTTAATTCCCTCTTGCCTTTAACTCATGTGCTACTAGGGGGGACATTTTAATACTTAACTTACAGTAGAGATGAATGTTTGATCTGCTGGATAACTTTCATGTTTAAACTGTTGGCTTTGTCTGAACTAGTTCAATCTAGTAGTTAAGTTTGATTGATTGCCACCAGCATGCGGGGAAATGGTAAACAATGCGTCCTTGTATTATGTAACCTAATACAACTTTTTTTGCAGGGATTTATTACCTTTTAGGTAACAGAAAAAAACCTATAGAAACAGAATAGGAGGCATATATGTCATTAAAAGTAGATGTCCCATGGTGGTGATTCAGTCAGAGCCTGGCTCTGGGAGGAATGTGCCAAACTCTAATTGCCATCACAGCCTATCAAAACGGCCGCACCGAAGCAGGAAGTCGGAGTAATTCGAGAAATGCGTCCTCACTGGAGCGAATTAAAACCAACCAGACGCACGACGTCGCTCCGCCGTCCGTAAAACTCACTTCGGAACAACAACAACATCAACAGTGAGAGTATGCGCCGATGTGAACTGATGTGCGCTCACACCGCCTCTCCAGTACGGGACTGAATGTACTTTCTGCATATGGGCGGCAGCAGAAAGACGCACTCTGCTGGAGGAAACAAGCCCAAATCCCCCCCGACTAACCAGCCGCATGCAGACTCCAAACCAACCGCTTCTAAAACCCTCGCTTTCCAGCTCCTCTTTTTCTTCTGAGCTTTACATTTAAGAGGCAAAAAAGTCGACAACATCCCCCCTTTGCTTCCATCACTTGCGCAACCCATCCCTCTCTAAAGTATGTTTGTTTTTTAGGGGGCGATAACACAGCAGGTCTGCAGGAGGAGGGGGGGAAATTGGGAAAAAAAAATGTCGCGCTGAAGAGAAAAGAGAAAAAAAAACGTTCCCCTGAGACAAAAGACAAAGAAACACAGGTGCAAAATGTGTCCTTTCAGAGCTTGCATGTTTGCAGATATAAAGGCTCCATGTTCAGGCTGGAGTCATGCAGCCGCACACTGAGACACACAGGAGAGGGGGGGGAATCCTTACCTTAGGTCGGTCTGCAGCTTTACCTGGAAGTTCACACACACTCCGCTCACTTTGAGCTCCTGCACAACTATGAAAATCTTAGTGTATCGCTTGTCTCATTGGCTGGAATGAAATGGTAATCTCTCTCTCTCTCTCTCTCTCTCTCTCTCTCTCTCTCTCTCTCTCTCTCTCTTACTCCCTCCCTCCCTTCTCTCTCTCTTTCTCTCTCTCTCTGTCTCTCTCCCTCCTAATCGGAAATGTGTGTGATCCCCCCCAGACGTCCAGTCACGAATACCCCAGATGCATTATAGTGGGGGGTTGCAGCAGAGCAGTATGCATTGCATACTTTCTCTATTAAAGCATGTTTCAAGAAAGGACGGGGGGTAGGAGGGTTGAAAACAGAGGATCCCGCCCCGAGAGCTGCTCCGTGGACCACCCACTTGAGAGAGGGGGAGAAGACAGGGGTATTACTAGACTAGAGGGTCTGGTTCCGGGGTTCCACAGGAAAAAAAATGGGAAAGAATAAGTGGGGGAGGCTGGGAAGTCCCCCCAACAAAAAAAAAGAGGGAGGGAAAAAGTTCAGTTTTCTTCATAGTGAGAGCTCTCTGTCTGCACTGTTTCAAACAGAGAGTTTCACTCACTTTCCCTGCTGTTATCTCCCCACCTACATGGCCAGAGATACTCAGTATCACTAACCTTGTAAGTCATAAAGGGCTGCTGCATCAAAGGGCTTTATGGGAACCTTATCTGTTGGCCTACAAACTGCTTTTGTTTTGTTTTTAGTTTTTTTTTTTGCCTGTTGGAAACATGTTTTTGCAGAAATGTTCAAAGGTTTTTGGCGTCCTGCCACATATTGGGTTTCAGGGGGTACATACCTGGCACCTTACGTTGGCAGTGCATGAACTGGAAGGAAAAAGACAAACATTTGGTGTGATTTTTTATTTTTTTTTTCTCAAAAACTGAAAACTGATGTCTGGCATGTATGTGTATTCAAGTCCAAGTCGTTGCTCTCAATTAGCTCCCTCCACGTCTCCATCAACCCTCATCTGCCTTGCTGACTCCGCTCAAGAAAAGCATCCCCACAGCATGGTGTTACTACTGTGTTTTACCTTTGAAATCTGACCAAAAGAAAAGACCAAAGCACCTTCTATATATGCTTTCTTAAACCTCCCAGATGTTTTGTGGCAAAAAACAAGATGTCTCTCTTTCACCAGTTGCTCTCTATTTGCCAGTCTTTAAACCTTAACTTTGGAGGGCAAAAATATATATAACTGTAATATCAACTGAGTTGTAAATGTGTGCAACTTCTCCTGGCTGCCTCTGATTAGTTCTATTCCCTCCCTGGTCTGTCAGCTAAACTGGGTTTTCATGCAGGCTTGCAGTTGTACCACACTCTTTATATTTTCATAACTGAAAGGTTCTCTTTAAGATGTTCAGCCTTATATATTGTTTAAAAACTTAATTCTCCTTTTAACCTGTTTGTTGTTCCTCCGTCTTCATGTCGGTATCTGGTCATCCATGTTCTGTAAGAAAACCTTTGAAGCCTAAACAATTCAGCTCGATTTTTACTGAGTTAATAACACAGGTGGGCCACTGTATAAAACCTTGAACTCAGCGCTAATTCCTGACATTTTGAATTGAAAAATCTTCCTGCATGGGAAGCGAAACGTCTTCAAACTTGGACACAAAGTCCAGTGGATTGTTTTTTAACCTTTTTTTTTTTTTTTGGAACACAGGAGGAATAATTGGGCGACTTTATGAAGCAATTAGCTGCCTTTTATTTTAATTTATTATAATCAAACAAAGAGAATAAATGTGTGCCACACTTTGCACTTTTAGAATAGTTTTATACAGCATATTTTATTTACTTATTGAATCGTGATTTTTTTTAACCTACATCTTGCTATCTGAAGCATCACTAAACCTTAAATCCACCCTTTAATTCTTGCCTATGTGCTTCATGCTGCAACAAGTTTATACAAAGTGATAAATTCAGATGAAAAGGGCTTGAAGCACACATTCCAGTGGCGACTAAGGCTGGACCACTAGTGGAGTCATGTCAGGTGAGTCCGCTGGCAAGAGCCCAGGATATGAAGCTGAACATTACAAAGGATGCAGCTTTACGCTCAGTAGGAACCGTTTGCAGGGACAGTTTCATGATGTAATTCAGAAATAACCAGAATGAATATCCAGCGAAACCACAATATTACACAACATGACATGCATTCAGACATTAATACGGTAAAGCGTTTATTTCACCAAAAATTCCTCTGCTTCTTATTGCTATAAGTTGCACAAAACAGAGTAACAAGAAAAACATTTGCATATTTTTGTGACAGCACTTATCATCATTTTAGTCAGGGTTACCAGAAGCCTCTGCAACTGCTGCGTAGAACCTGCACTCATTTATGAACTGGACCTGTCATCGTCTTTATGTATTACTAAGTGAAAGTGAAGATAAATCACCCATCAACATCCACAATCTGTCTCTGTTAGTTTCTGCTTTTGCAGAAATAACACAATTGTTTGCACAGGTAAAATGTTGATGCCAAAACGAACAAGATATTGAGGGAGCCCTCTGCAGTCAAAGATTTGGTCAGACCTTGATCTTGAGGTTTATTTAAGCTGAATTCCGTGGGCTCATCAGGACCGGGTAACAAAAATCCTCCTATAGAACTAGAAAGAATGTGCAGTGCATACAGTTCTGCATAAGGCACAAAGGCATGTCTTTGGAGGTGGGGGCAGGCATCAAAAGACAGGCAGAGGAGGGATTTCTTTTTAGAGGCTGGGGGCAAAGAATGTATTTTGGAGCTCCCACTCAATGCCAATGCGAAACAGGGGAGGTGTACAATTGTGTAGTAAAGGAAGTACTGACAGAGGGAAAATTTTCAGATTTTTAAATCTGCAATAAATCAAAGTTTTAGAATCTCCTTCTCAGATTGGAAAATTATCCTTATATACAGTGCCTAGCAAAGGTATTTACAACTCCTGTATTTTTTCCCCTTTTTTATGACAATGATAGATATTTATACTTTGCGCTTTTAAGTTGGAGACCATAATATTCCTAAATAAAAATTGTATAAGTACAGCTGTTCTGTGAAGGCCTCAGATGTTGTACTGTAAGGTGACTTTAGCAAAATAAATGATGTGGCAAAGAACTAACTCCATCCCTACAGTACAGTAAATTATGTTGTGGCACCGCCAGTCTGTGGGGATTATTACCTTTGGGAAAAAAGATCAAGCTAAATACAGGACAGTCCCGGATAAAAACTTTTTGGAACCTGTTAAATAGTTCAACTTTGTGCAGAGATTTTCATCTCAGCAAAACAACAATCCCGAAACCTTAAGCCAGAGAAACAATTAAATGGTTTAAATACAAAGATAATTGTATATAATAAAACTTAGACTGTGGTGATCCAAGCAAATAAAACTCACAAACTTGCATCATCGAGTCTGATGGAGCATGAAATAGTTTGCCAAGAAGAGTGCGGACAAATTTCAGTTTCTTGATGTCCCAGTCTACAAGAGTCTCCTAAATGATTGTTCCAGTTGTGATTGCATTCAAAGTTGGTTCTACAAAGTATTGAGTCAGGCATGCTGAATACAGACACAAGCTGAAATTTCACATTTTTGATTGCAAAAAAGTTTCACAAACTGAGTGTGCCCATTTGTGTTAGTCTATTTAAAAATTGTTAGAATAAAACATACTGAAATATTTTGCCTCTTATGGGACAAAATCTTTACAAGGCACCACACTCTATTAAAAAAACCTTTTTGTTTGACATCTTAGCTAATTTCAAAATTCATTAGATATGATCAGGAAGAGTATTTATTACAGCAGGAGTCAGAATTTTAAATTGACTTAAAATAAAATCTGGGAAGCAATATTCATCAATTTAAAGTCTGGAGTTCACATTCTAGAGTTGGAGGACAGGGAAAAAACAAACAAAGCATCCAAAGGTTGAACTTTAAACTCAGAAAGCCAGATTTTTTTTGCTGCTTCTCTAATGTGTAATTGGGTATTGGTCTATACCTTTGCACTTTTATCTGATCTTTTTTTTTTATTTAATAAAAACTTGGTACATCCCAGCCTCCTTCAGTAAAAGTATAGCTACACAGAATACTGTAAATGCATTGAGGCAGAGAAATAAGTTATGATCAGCTTGCATTATTAATGACAACAAAACTGACCACTGGATCTAAAAATGGGAAAATCAATCTGTTCCTCTAACTTAATATTTGGGTTGATTTCTGAGACAAAAATAAAATGCAGGCACTGCATCATGATAATACATCAAACAAAAGGAGAACATAATGTGATATATATCCAAAAACAAACACACAATTTTCTGGATGAATTAATTCTAAAAACTTTGCAAACAAAAGAACCTAAAAAAATTACAGTAAGATATATGTATTTTGAGCTGGCTTTCTATTGACACTGTAGTATAGCTATGCAACCCTGTAGATGAATCCCAACTAAACAGTTAGTTTTAATCTTTAACTGGATACAAATGTTCATGTCTTTTAAATGTTAAAGCATTCATTCAGTTCCTTATCAGACAGCTAAGCCATCTCCATGACCTTCTTGATCCAGTCAACATACACAGACACACGGATGAAAATGTTGGGCTGTCCCGGGTGTCCACAGCGCCTCATGGGGATGATCACGCCCTCTAGCACCCAGCAGTCGGCATTCTGACACGCCAGAGGGCCGCCGTAGTCTCTCTGCAGACACACAGCAACAACACTCTGGAGTCATTATTTGTCTCTGTTATGACTGAGTGTCAGTGCCGAGGTGGGAAACATCTTGCAGTCACATCTTGCCAGTTCACTTACATTAGCCATATGGTGGATGTGTTTGATTTATAGGACCTTATAAATAGCTGTATGTTCTCTCCTCAAAGCAGGATAAATCAACATAGGAGTTTTTTTTTTTTCTTTAAGAGGGGATTTAATACCCGGCAGTTCACATGCATTACTTCTTGTCAAAGGGACACTTTTATATTTGGAGAACTACATTTAGTGTCATTTTACAAAATATAGTAGCATATTTTGCATCTAGAGTTAAGCAAACTTACATAAGTTTTGTTTTCTGATTTTCCAAGTTTTGTGGAGCAAAAGTAGGACTGTGTGCAGGGGCGGATTTACCATTAGGCAATACTAAGCAGTTGCCTAGAGCCCCAAGTTCCTGGGGGCCCTATAAAACTCTGTTTACATGTATAGCTAATACAACTATTCCTTATTTGTGCAAATTATTTATGTTTTTGATATAAATCCTTTCGCTAAAATGCCATCAGAATGCCTATAATATTAAGTGTGTCTCAGCCCCCCCTTCCTTGTCCACCACATTGGATCAGCCCATTTGCTGCACATGTTCAGAAAGATCCAAACACAGAGCAGCAAACCATTGGAAAACACACTATGTGAAGAGAGAGCAGTGTTGCCAATTTAGTGCTTCTGTCACTATATTTAGCCACCTTTAAGACCCCTCTAGTACTTTTTTTTTCCTGACTTTTTTCTGCTACTGGAGACTTTGGTGACAACATATAAAAGCACCGTACTCTGCTCTCCAGAGCAGGTAGATTGGTAACCCTGCCTCCTGCTGTCATTATTCATGCAGCTATTATTTCATACAAATGAAAAATGGAGAACAGATAAGTAGATCATAGCTTTTCTACAGTGAAAACAAGGACTGTGTTGTTTACTTTTGCTTTTGCCTTTTTGGAAACACAGGAAGGAGCAATCTGCTAAGTGAGCTTAGTGATTGGTAAAAATCTTTCATTCCTTTTGAGACAGCATGAAAAGTCAGCTGAGTACAAAACATAGAGAGGAAAACCACAAGAAAAGGTACAAGAAGAGAGGGACAAAATGTAGAACAAATAATTTATGTCTATTATGTGTTGTCTTGTTAATTCAGAGGGCCCCCTGCCTGTCTTTGCCTAGGGCCCAAAATCTCCTAAATCTGACCCTGACTGTGTGTAAGAAGCGACTTGGAGAGGAAGTGGGCAAAATCAAATGTTCCCACTTTATAAGTAGTAATGCAAATTAAAAGTAGGGTTTATCTCATTTACCTTCCATCCCATCTGACCTGGGACCAAATTACCCAGTGATCTAAGAAGTTTCAAGCATACGGCTCTTGAGCCACATGTGGCTATTCCACCAAAAACAGTGGTGCTTTTGGGATTATTTCTAAACAGAGATGGAAGTGACAAACATGGACACAAAGATGAAATTTAAAAATATCAACAAGCTCTCTCTCTTTTTTTTTTAGTCAGTCACATTGCTTTTGATGCTTCAAAAAATGTAACTTAGAAGCAAGCAGGGAGAAATGGCAGTTAATTGCCAGAATTATACCAACAACCGTGGAAGACTAGTGCTGAAATATTAAAGAGACTCTAACTATCTTACTCATCAAACACATAAAAATCACTTTTCATGTAGTTAAACTTGTTTTGGTTATTTTTTATTTCTGTTGTCCAATGTGTCTTCATGGATTTTCATGTGACTGGTTAACACAAATAAATCTCATGTAACTTCTAAAGTATTTGTTTTATTTCTGCAACAGATATTGTGATACAATCCTGGATTTCATTTTTACCATCATCCCATTAAGCCTGACTAGTTTTTTTGACTTTGCTAAAGGAGTGAAGCCCTCACAGTTTTATGCTGCTACCTCTTTATTTCACGATTTATTATAGTGTATTCAGGATTATGTACAGTTAAGTTCTTTGCTACAAATAGTGGATACCGGCTCAAGAAAAAAATGATATTGACGTCACTTACTGAAGCCCATTCTATCATTTTTAAAAAAGCCTGCTACATGTCAAACAGAAAGCAGAAGTTTGAAGATGTTTTCTAACAAACCTCTAGGTATAAGGGGTTGGAACACCAATGCATGCCACACTGGACTCATATTTGTACAGTAAAGTTGAAAAACTTTGAGTCTTTTCTTTCTAAGAATTATGTCCTAATTATTGTTATTCTATCACATTAAATAATAATGAACTACACTAAAACTAGGACAAGAAGTGTAAATGCATCTTCGAGAATGCAAGTCTACAAGCTTCCATGGGGTCAAGCCTAATGCCTATAGGATTTTAGAAAACTATCTTTATTCTGTGCATAATTTCCCCTTATTTATGAATACATAAAAAAGACAATACAATACACAAAGGAAACAAAATCCAATCATCTACAGGTCCCCTATAGAAACCTACCTCACAGGCACCGACTCCAGCTTGGAAAGAGTTTGTGCACATCTCATTTTCTCGGACGCGACCTCTGTAGTATTTGTTGCATTCAGTGTTACTGATAACTGGCACATGTGCAACGTTAAGGACAGTCTCATCTCCAGTCCCTGAGAAAACCGTGACAAGACAAGAAGGCTACAGTAAATGGTATACTCAGGGAGGGTTGTATATAAGGAACAAGGAAAGATGTGGAATTGTTTGTAAGATATCAGCGCCATCTGTTTCAGTTCAATTCAATAAAAAAAAAACTTTACTGATCCCAGAGAAATTATATATTGTTGAAAATTTTTTCAAAAAGTTGCTGTAGATGTTAATAGCCGTCAAAGGGAAGAATCATATGTAGCAGTTTGTCTTGGCCTGGATCTAGAGAAGCCTTTGACTGAAAATCTGGTTGTTTTTTAAATGTCTTCTAGAGATAATGCTCACAACTGTCCCCCTTGTGTTCTTCATTTAATGAGGAATTCTTCTTTTCGAAATCATCTCCAGCAATTCTAGAGGAATTCCCAGAACAGAGCTGGCCTTCTTTATCAGCTTATTAGGCTTCTTTAAATCATTTGCTCTGATGCTGTTACCCCAGCAGATGATGGTAGACTAGAGCGGAGCTCAGCAGAAGTGTGGCTTAATGGTTAGGGCATTGCGCTTGGAATCCAGAGGTTCTGATTTCAAGTCCCACTCCCATGGACTGACACTCTGGGTCCCACACTGCTCCCCGGGTGCCTTAAAATGGCAGCCCATTGCTCTCCAAGGGGATAGGTTAAATGCAGAGAGTTAATTTCGTTGCTCTGTACTTGTGACAGTGTAATGACAATAAAAAAGCTAGAAAAAAGAGGTGTCATCATCTGCTGGATATCCTACAGAAGACACGCATCATCTTGCAAAGGACCTAAGGTTCCTTAAAATACAGTCTGCTCTGTCCCTTCTTATCCCTTCTAGATCAGGGGTCACTAACAGGCTAAAGGCTACTTCAAGGGTACTGAGTCATAGGAAGGGCAGCCAATAGTGACCTATGAACTGCAAGGGTCAGCATTCACCTAAACATCAAACATCATGAATGTCTTTTTATTGCTTCTTTATTATTTCTATTTTTTGTCAGACATTGTCATTTTGAAAAGCTCTAAAGAAGGTCTGTTTGCCAGGTAGCCTTTGATGCAGGTACTTTTTGACTGAGATGTGGAGTAAACAACTTATCTCTATACCATTTTTGTTAGTTTTGTCCATCCACTGAAGTACGTGACGTGAGTCCAAGTGAATTAAATTGGACTCACCTGGTTCAGTGGTTTGACAGAACAAACACATGGCATAGAGATGACTTGTTGACTTTACATGTCCGACCTCTGCTTCTTGATGCCCCCACCTGAATTCTCTGGAGTTTTTGATAAAGTGAATCACACTGAGTGATGTAAGATACACTGAAGAAAGGAGATAAAAGGACATGATCCTCACAGCACTTTCTGCCTACTTTTAATGAAAGTTAGTTTGCTGAAGGAGGCTTAGGATGTCATCTTCAACTCCACCTTCTTGGCAAACTGCAGGTGGTCCTGATAACTGCTTGTTTGTTTGCTCAGGTGGACAAACAGAAGTCTGTCTCAGCTCTTTGTGATGTGGGATGTCAGGTCGGTCTGCGAACCCCAACGGATGGGGGCAGGGAGCCAGCAGGGGACGGAGCGATCGAAGCTGACTCGGTAATGGTAGCCTGGACACCGGCGGCACTGTGCTTCCCCCCGCCTGCCTTACCGACCCCAGCCCCCCTCCTCTGCTCATGGATCTCTGCTGAGGTCCGGTCCAGTCAGTGGCCCAGCAGCAACTCTGGGCTTTGTTTGAATTCACCCGTTTTATGGTTTGGAATTGCGAGATTTGCATATAAAGGAGGTGTCGATGGGGTTTGAACTTATCTGTACGTCAATTTCACCCACTGAACTATCGTTATTCATCTATGACCATGTAAACTTGGTTTTGCATTCTATAACCCCTTTAAGGACTCTTGGACAGACAATATCTGGACCTGGTGCCTTACTATTATTCAGTCTCTCTAGTTGCCTATATACTAGATTTCTGGAGAAAGATATGTGGAAGGGAGGTGGAGCAGCACTGTCTTGTACTTAAATTAGTGGATTCACTGCAAGGTGGAACATTTGAGATTTTGGAGGGAAGCTTTAGGTCAAAGGAAGGTGTGATGTCTGTTGGACTGTGGGCATGAGAGAAGGATGCAGAAATGTTTCCTACACCAAACCTCTTGAAGAATATGTTTAATTCATTTGCTCGGTTGAGACTTCCATCTGTCTGATCCTCCTTCTGCTGAAGGTCTGTGATCTTCTTCTCCCTAACTGCACATCTCTGATGTTGTTCTGCTAGAGTTTGCTTTTCGGCTTTTTCCCGTATGCCTCCTTGCCTTCTCTTATCTTGACCTTAGATCCCTCTGTATAGTCCTTAATAACTCCCTGTCTCCATTCCTGAAGGCTCTTTCTTTTACTTTTCTTGTTTAGCAATTTCATTACATCATAGTGATCCAGGGTTTATCACTGGGTAGGCACCTTGCTATTCTAGTAGATATTGTGCTATCTACACTAAAGTTTATAGTCAGTCACACACTCAGTTGTTATAGTGCTGTCCACTCCATTTTCCTGAAAATATACATCCCAGTCTTTAGCCTCAAAATGTAATTGCAGGGCTTCTCCAGCTTCCTGTGACCATCTTCTTACAGTCATTTCAGGTTGGCTCTTATAAAGGTACTTTTAGTCTGAGCAGAGGAAAACAAGATTGTGATGGGATTTTCCAAGAGGTCTTGGGAGAGATGTATGAGTCCTTGACATATTCATAAAACAAGTTCTGTTTTCTCTGTATAGCATCTGACAAACTGTTAGAGTGCTGGGTTTTTAGTAGAGAGGGAGGCATACTGAAAATGCCCAGTTATCATCACAGATGCATTTAAGCTGTTTTGTCTGTAGTTTAGCAGCAACAGAGGTGATGACATCACACACAGTGTAGCAAACGGCAGAAAGTGGAATATAAACAGTTGCCACATTAATACTGGTGACCTCTCAGGGTAGATGATATAGATGAAGACTAAATGACAGCAGTTTAATGTCTGAGATGCAGAGCTTAAACTTCACAGTAACATGTCATGGATGATACCCTCTGTAGTTCACAAGCCCTACCACCCCCACTTCCTTTGCTTTTCTAGCTTTCTTTGAATGCCTGCATGTATAGTCAGAGAGCCTGGTAGAGAGAAACTGAAGTCGGGCATATGATTCTGCAGCCACGTTTCTGTAAAAACATAATACTGCATTTTTGATATATTGGCTGGGTCCTTGTGCGGGCTTGGAGTTTGTTTGCAAAAGATCTTTATTTGCCCATAACAATTGATGGAAGCAATGACTTGAATGTGCTCATTCCCTCTCTTCTCCTTGCTCCTGCTCTGTATCCTCAGTACATCATTTTCAACTCATCTGAGAGTTGCAGAAGTTGTTGAAGTATTATTTTAGATATTGAGATGTTAATGAACTGCTCTCAGGTGTAAAAAAAAAATAAAAAACTGCTATGATTGCAATGATTAAAGATCATGACAAATTTCCAAAAGTGAAATGATGTTGGCAAAAGTCTTTTCAGCAGTTTAACATCCAACATCAGTGGTTAAAAAAAAAGAAAATCAGATAAAAAAGAAAGTTGATCCACAGAGTTACTGAAGTTCTTTGAAAAAGAATGTCAAAATCAAACTAGCAGAGCGTCTCCAGCATGCAACCACCTTGTGAAGCAACCTTTTGAGCATTCTCCCCTGCCGTCTCTCTCTCATTCGATTGAAACATTACTTCATTCTAAAGCCATAATTATTTGCTGTATATTTTGACAGTTGCATAGAATTAAACCTTACCCTCCACACCCAAGGCTCTGTCTTACCTCCTGTGTCACCCCACCCAGCTATTTCACATCTTGTGTGCTCAGGCACTATGTAGCGCTCAGGAGGGAGGCATATCTGAGAGACACGCTCATTGAACTGTGCCGGACTTGGGACAAAGAGAAAACAGAGTTAAAGGAGAATTTCCGGTAGCTGTAATGTGCAAGGGGATGTGTGTGAGGATGCATTCTGGTGCTGGTGATACAGGATGGTACATACTATTCCAATTGAAGCATGACCAACTGAGACTCAGAAGGTCCACATACAATCTTGGTGAGAGGAATCGTTTGCACACCAGGCTCTCCTTCCTGCGGATCACGGAAAAGGGTTCCCATCATGGCAGAGTATCCTGGCAAGTCCACATAGCTGTAAAAACAAGATAACATTAATGTACATTTCAAAAAAGCAAAATTTTTTCAATATTGTTTTAATGATAATAGACAGATAAACCAAGATAGTTCCTCTGTTGAAAAGATCAAGCCAATAGATTGATTTAATTCATTGCTTAGAAATTTGTGAGGTTGTATGCAAAGAAAATCTTTCAAGCCTTGAAACAGCATGACTGATCTTTATACAAACTTTGAATGAAATTCACTTACAATTGCATCTCTTGACAAGAAAAAAGTATAAAGTAAGATAAAAAAAAACCAATTCAAATTAAAAAAAAAAAATTCAATTAGATATAATGAAAAAATGAACAATCCTTACAGAGATTAAAACAGAGATTAAATATGACCCCAAAAGATGCTTTAACCCCTGAAAGTGGAAAGCAATGTCTGTCAGCAAGTCCATCCCTAGTAAAAAAAATCAAATTATGTCCTGCTTTAGATTTTTCAAACAACCTTTGTTTTTTTTTTTTTTACCAAGACTATGAGATTAAGACAAAAAATAGTACCAATCTTTTTACTAAAGAAAGTGCTGTCTAAAAATGCAGTGAGTAATTTTCATAATCTTCTCTTTTGCTGTTATATTGAAAATCTTTTTTTTTTTACTGAAATAAAAAATAAAAAATAAAATTTGTAAATATATGCAACAAATATTTATTAGAGCTGCATAACCTCAATGACAAGCAAAAGGTGTGATGCTGCAAAGTAAATGTGTTATTTTTTTATCACTCTTACTATGATCATTTTGTATACAGGCAAAATAAACAGTTTGATTTTTTTTTTGTTACTTTTGCACCATTTATCAATTGCACATGCCATCTTAGTGGATCACTTGTAAACACATTTTTTATATGTGCAATTTGTTTATCTAAGTAATTTTGCCTTAAAATAACAAAAACAAATGTCTTGTTTAAGGAAACTCTATAAAAACATGTTTTATTTGATGAGGAATAGGAAGATTGTCCATTTCCTGTTTACAAAAATCTAAAAGATCATTAGTGATCTTGTAAGACCACAATAAGCTGAACCGTCATATATTGCTGTAACCATGCTTCTCATACTGTACCATTAAAATCTCATAGGCTCATAGGCAAATATACAAAATTACAGGTCATATTTTGTAAAACCTTTTATGTGAGATTATGTGGAACTTTTACCCATCTTAAACAAATAATTTGTGATCCTTTTTGGAAGAAAAGATGAAATTTATAAATTGTCAAGAGACATCCAATTATTTCACAACATTGATTTAATCAATCATCTTTTCAAGAACTGCAAAAACTGATATTTATAATTTGCAGTTTTTAAAAATATCCCAATATACAGGATAACTAAATATGAACTGTTCATTTTTGCATCGTTGAACAAAAATAGACTTGACTTTCCATTTCATTTTTACTATGCCTACAGACACCATAAATGGACAATGGAGGAAACAAATGCCCAAAAAGCAGGAAATTAGATGCCATAACCTAGGAGATGAGGGCAATCTCATACTGTATCTCAGTTCCAAGTGAAATGACCATTATACTTAAACAGGGTTTTGACATAAATATGTACTGACTTATATAGGCATGTACCATTATAACCAATAGGAAAATTCAACTGCACTAGCCATGCTTCAACCCCTATAGGTCATAATTAAAATAGCTTTAGGCCAAATATTGCAGAATTTAACAAGTTTACATGAAAATGTCATAAAGACATAATAACTGAGGCCGTATTTATACAGTCTATCCGCAAAAAAGTTTACTTGGGGTTTAGTTTTTAAATTAACTACCAGGAGGAGAAGCACTGCTTTGTGCTGATCACCCATCTGGGATTCACCAGAGATCCTCCACAGAAGTGGTTTCCTTTCCTGCACACAAAGAGGTCAAAGGTTATTCATGGCGCAGCAGAGACTGTTTTGATAGTTCATCACCAAACGCCGTCAGCTGTCAGCCTGACCTGTCTCTGAGGCTCACAGTCCAAGGCGAGTTCCCAGGGATTCCATTCACGATACGCAACCTGGTTGGCTGGGGACGGTCGTCTCTCTTCCCGCACTCACTGAACTCCACCTTCTCTGTGTTCACAAAAAGATAACAATGTGACTGCAGAAGCAAACTATGGAGTCCTCTGGACGTTTTTTCTCCTCATTCATTTGCGTACTAACCTACTGTTTCCGTCAAGGACACTTTTTCTCCAGCTGTGTGAAAGCAACAATAGAACCATTTAAAACAAAAAAATAAGAGGTCTAAATTCCTTGTCCTAATGCACAAAAAAGGGTCATGTACCACATTGTTTAATGGCGCAGTAATCAAACTCAGTTTTTGGGTCAGTGGTGTAACACCAGGGTCCGTGCTGGTCCCCATCTGGGTTACGACAATAGTTCTCCGTCAGGTTGGCATCCGGATGTGTCCGTGGGTTTATCCTAAAAGATCACACAAATGCAAGTATTTGAAATCATATAAGCTCTTGATTAGGATTGTAAGAGAAGAAAAGAGTTTCTTTCAATCTGGACTCTTTGTTAAAAACATCACCATACTTGGTCAGATGAGGTGTGTTCACATTCCATTTCTGACAGGTGATGCCTTTGCGAGTTTTGCGGACAACACCTCTGTAGTTTCTTCCATTTTCATGGTAGCAGTCTGATGGTTTAAAAGAGCTTATTTTCATAAATACAATGAAATTTTAATAAAAGATAAGGGATGTTTTGAAACCTTCCTGTCTGGGTTAAATTCAATTCTTAAAAAAAATACCTTATTATTCTTTTTAATTAAAATTTTATCAAAATCCGAATCAATATAACTTACCCTCGGCCTCAATGTCATCAGCACAGCGCTTAATCTGTAGGCAAAGGGCAGTCCTCATCTCTGGTATTGAAGTGAAGCACCAGGGGGCCTCTGAACCATCTGGGTTACGGCAGTAGTTCTCCTCTAAACCCCTAGATGATAAGAAACCCTGAATACGTTTAATACAGTGACTGGCATGCCTTTCACACAATAGGACTTATTTACAGATAGAGACATTACTCTGAAATTACACAGTGCCATGCGGAAAGTGTTCCCCTCTCTTAAAAATCTAAAATTTTAATGTCACAGCTGTGAATTTCTTAAGTATGGCACGCTAGTGATTTGAAAAGACAAATGAAAAACACTTATTAAAAATGTGAAAAAAGTGTTAAGTGTGACATTTATTTATATTAATCCCCCTTTTCAATTATATAATTTAAACCCAGGCCATGCACTTTGCTTTAGGAATCCATTTATATGTTTAATCTGTGTGAATCTGCTAAGTTGTGAGTTTAAGTTTAACGTTGTTAGAGAACCTGGGTAAATAAACATTATCTCAAGACTGAAAAACATCAGAGAGGTGAGGGATGAAGTTTTTAAGAAGCTTTATGAATGCTTAGATTATGAAACGTTATCCAAAACATCCTAAAAAGAAACATGAAAATTTCTAAATATTGTAAAACTACAAATCAACCAATATTTGACTATCTGCTAAAATGAGAGGCTGTGGGAAGAAAGAACTAATAGGACAAGTAGCTAGGTGGCCTGTGGTAACTCTGGAAGAGCTGCAAAGTTTCACAGCTCAGGTGGAAAACACATTCTGGTCAGTACTCCACAGGTCTGGCCTATACTAGATGGCACATGCAAGCCAATTTTAGAAGAAAGCTAACATGTGGTGAAAGACTCAGTGGACAGATGATAACAGAATTCAACTTTTTGGCCTTTATGCTTCTTTATTCTTTATGAATGCATCAAAAGGGATAACCCACCCTACCTTTGAACTTTTACAATGGCATTGCTCCATCTGTCAACCGAGATTAGCTAACTGGCTCTTCCTTGATTTGGCAAAGGAGTGGTGGAAGCTTAAGGGGTCAGCTCAGTATACTGTTCATTAGACAGGCCTCCACATTCATTAAATCATAATTCTGCTAAATTTTATCTTTTCATTTTCTATTGCTTTTGCTTATTACTGTTCATCACCTTTGTCAGTTGTAACACTGGTAAAGTGCTCATGACTAAAGTTGACTTGGCTGATTTCAAGATGTTGCCTTAATATGTAATGGTTTACATCAGAGCATATTGCTAAAATGTCTGTTTTATATGAATACCCATGTTAACACCCTGTGCAATAACCCTGTATAATAATCCAAAACAAACAAACAAAAAAAGCAGTCATATGTGGACACACTGTATATAATGTATATACTGTATATCCCATGCACCTTTTTCTTCCTTTGGCACATTCTTCTTCACTTTTTGACGATTTGAGCTGATGTAACGAGTAAATTCCTCCACTCTGAGATCAATATAGTCAATCAATCAGTAAATTCTAGCAATAGCAAAACATGCTAGGGCATCCAATCTGTTGTAGCCATGGATGAAATTTAGATTTTAGAAGTGGAGGGGATGCAAGTATTTTTTAATATAACCAACTTCAGGGTGTCTGACAATCCAATCACAGACCTAATTCAGTGGGGATCAGATGTTTGTAAAGCAAGCTTCTCGCTTGGTCCTAGTGCTCGATGAATGTCTGTGTAATGTAACATTGTTTTTGGACAGTAAAAAGTGCAGGGGACCAAAACCGATGTTTGAACAAATGCAGGGGACATGTCCCCCTTGTCTTCCCCCCCAAATTATGTCCATGGTTGTAGCGATAAGAATGGGCTGAAATATCAGTCTGTCATGAGGAAAAACTAGTAGAGACGTATTCCAATATGAAATGAAGCTGAAATTGCTGCCAAAACTGAGATTCGGGGGGGCTGAACCTAAATACATGAGACATTTTTTGATTTTCATTTAAATTACCGGTATGTAACATTTTGCTTCCACGCTTACAATAATGCATTACTTTGTGTTGACTAATCACGTAAAAGCCCCATTCTAACCATATTAATAGATTATTTAATTTCCCATTGGAATAAAAAAAAGAACAACATTTTTAATAAATTGATGCAAATTAACCCTGGATGATGAATTAACTAAACGTAGCAGACGAGCATACATGCTGCTCTGAGGGCAACCGATGTTACACTCTGGAATTGCTGATGATCTATCATTTACTGTCAGCTGTTGACAGAGAAATAAGATTGCAAATTTTTTTCCCGGCAGCAGCACCTCAACATTAATATTCATATGCATGCAGAGCTTGTTCACACCCTGCATGAAAAGCAACACTGCTTACTTGCACTCATATATGTCTGGGATAAAGGGATGTGCATGAGGTTGTTGGGAGTCCCATCTCTGACAGGGAATTCCAGACGTTGTCTCGTTGACTTTGCCACGATAATCTTCCCCTCGGCCTCGGAAGCAGTTGGTGGTGAAGCTGGAGCGCTGCCTCTTCTCCACACGGACTTCAGCTGCATATTGGAAAAACCAAATTAGACATATCATAATGTAGTTTCTGGCTCAGTACTGTCTTAATTTAAGGAATGCAGCTTTTGCAGATTTCCACATTTTGTCTATTACAAAAGTTCTTAAGTGTTATTTCTGTCCACACTGATCTCAAGTCTGCAATTATTCTTATGTTTACAGTTTATTTGATGCCCCAGTTTTTCCTTCCACTCAACTTTCTATGATATGCTTGGATACATCACTCTGTCACACTCAACATCTCCAGTAATAACTTTCCTTTTGGAAGGATTTATAAAACTGTAAAGACAGCAGTTTTTTTTAAAAAGGTGAGTAGCTCCTAATCTAGCACTTTAAAAAAAATTTTTTTTATCAGAATTTCAATTCTATTGGTCACACATGGCATTTTATTTTACTGAGAAATTTAACTTTAAACCACCATCTCGTGTAAAAAATACATTCATCTATATTAACTGAAATAAAAAGTCATAATTCTCACTACACTGATATGAAAACAGACTAGGTGGCAGCAATAAAGTGAGTGTTCGGTTGTTTACATAAATATAATAGAATTGGCCCACTAAAGTTCAGAGAAAATGACAAATGTCGAAACTGGGAAAGAATGAAACCTTAAATAAACAATACAAATAAATGATTTCAAATATCTTATTCAAACATTTGCGTGAAATGGTTTTGTCAGGGATCTGGCCACAAGATGGGGCTCTTTTCTAGCTTTTTGTTGCACCTTTGGTCTATTTCATCACTGTAAAAGGCCCATGTTATCCTTGACCCATTTAAGCCCTTTCTAAAAGCTTGGGGAAAACACTTGATTCAAGCTTTAGTAACAATAATCTGCTGGCTCTGTCTTACATATTGGAAAGTCTTTGCTCTTCATTGATAAATAAAAAATAAACAGCAGCAAAAGAAAGAAAAAAATATGTTACTTGCAGCAAGCTGCACAAACAGTAAAGGAAATTTGATATAATTACCCCTCTCTGAACCTAAAGACCATAGATAGTGATCAAATAAAAAATCTTGCACAAACACCTATTTTGTTCTGATCCATTATTTTTAATGAACCTGAAAGTAACATTGGAACCAACTCTGAAATGTTGTGTAGGGAGTAAACCTGCTCAACAATTAATTAAAACACACTCAGCAGTAATTAAAACACCTTGTGTTTTAATTACTGAGACTTGATAACACAGCCGAGGTCCATATTGACTCTCAGGGATGAACTTAATAGACCCTAATCAAACGAAGAAATCATCAAACCTGAATATAAAGTAAAATTCACTAAATCTACAGTCAAACTATATGTGAATGTTTCTTACTTTGTCCAATCCTTTTCCCATTATGTGACCTAAAATTATTTGATTAGAGCCCAAAAAAAAACAAACAAAAAAAAAAAACAACAACAATATTTGCATTTTTGGAAGAAAAAAAAAAAAGTCTTACTGCATCTACTGATGTCACATTTTTCTCTCTCTGTCTCAGGGTCTGTGGTGTAACACCACGGCACCGGAGATGCATCAGGGTTACGGCAGTAGTTATCATCCAAACTCTTGTCAGGGTACCTGAAACATTAAAACCCAAACGTTAAAGAGGTTGAATTTATGTCCTCACTATAATTGGCATCTCTACAATAAACGTGTTTATCTTTAGCTGTCTCTTCCCAGTGTGTGGTGGCAGGATATACTTGTACTGCCTTGTTTGTCATAATTACTGTAAAATGTTGCTGACTATGGATACTGCAATGTTTAGTTAAGCAGCTATATTCTAACAAAGACCTATGAAGATCTAAAGTCCCTTACCAGAATTGCATGTTCACTTGTCTTTTCCATTTTAATACTTGTTTAGACACATAGGTTTCTAGGTTAGGGTTAGGAATAGTAACCCACTTTTAGTAGCTCAGAAAAAGAAAAGAAATGAATGGAAGATTTTTGATTAAATACAACTTTTTTCTATACTCTGATCATTATTAGACTATAGTAGGCAGATATTCTAAAATGGGTCAAGCTTCATGTGATCTATCAACATTTTTGTGTACCAATAGTAGTTATTTAGGTAAATACAGTTAATTATAATGTCCGCCATCTGGCATTATACATTTAAGGTAAAAAAAAAAAAAAAAAGAAAAACTACCTTGTTGCATAAGAGTAAACATTTTAATGCAACTTTATAGAAAACAAAAGGATTTCTCAATCAGTTGACTTATGCCTTTTGTCATCTGAGTCAATCACATTTGGAAGCTCATCTCTAAGCATTTTTCCTGATTTAAATATCTACAACAAAATACCATAAGAAATAGAAACACTAACCATAAAATATTGCTGTGTAGTTATCAAGCAACATCTAAAGCAAGCTTGACAATTTTTTACTGAAAACAATCTGATGAAATAGCTTTATGGTTGATCACACAACCTTCCTACAGCTAAAGGGAAAAGATGTATTGCAGCAAAGCCACCAAGCAGCTCCATTACTTTAGGACAATAAAAGCAGAGCAGGTATGCATGAACATGTACTTTTCAGGCTGGTAGATGTGTTGATGAGGGTACTGCTGGTCCCATCTCTGACACTCCTTGCCACTCACAGTGTGATCCACCTGCCCTCTGTAGTCTTCTCCGTTGCAGGTGATGCAGACCTCTGCAGACAGAAGGCACCAACTAAGCTATGCTTTATGCATCACAGATATTCCAAAGAACACATATCACAAAAAAAAAAAGAAAATCAGTACCACATTTGTTGCTAGTTAAAAATTAGACTCTTACATCTGTAAACATAACAATACTTCTTTAATAAAGTTGCTCAAACGTGCAAACAGAACTTTACAATAATGTTCTCTGTCCTTAAAAGTAAATTATATGCTTAATTAAATGAGATGCTAAAGAGTTTTTTTTTTATAGTTTACCATCTTTACACTGGGGGATGTTGCAGCTCTCGTAGCGTCGCTCAGGGTCGGTGGTGTAGCACCAAGGACCGATACGGTCCCCATCTGGGTTCCTGCAGTAGTTCAGCTCCAGCCCATTGGTAGGGGTGGGAGTCCACCTGAGACAAATAGGGACCTTTTAAATGAGTGACAGGCTGACCCACATGATGTGTGGGTGGTTACATTCACATGGCACGCTCCCTGAGGCTGTATGAACAGAAGAGGAGAACTTGGACTGAGAGAGTAAAACCCACAGAGCTGTCTGAGTCACTGTAATATTTGTTCTACTAAATCTATAGAGATTTGGCACTGACATGGCATTGCAAAATCTGGATTTCCCATGATGATCAGCACATGATGTGACAAAAACAAAGATTGAAATGTTTAAACTGTGTGATCTGATCATTTCATTTATTTTATCATGTATTTATTTTCTTCTTTACATCATTTTTATAATGTCAGATTAGGGGCCAGATTGCTCCTGAACTGCTTCCTAGATTAGATAAGAAAGTAAAAACATGACAAGCTCTTCTCCTATCATTGTTGTCTCTAAAGATTTTTGCTGTTTCTGGTTTTACATACAATGCATTTTTCCAAATGGGAATCCCTCAGCATCCTCTTCAAAATGTGTTTTCTATTTCAGATTGAAAGACATTGATTTCTGCAATATTTTTAAATGCTGCAGACAGAAATCGGAATTTTCTATGTGAAATTTAAGGGACATATTTTGGATTTTTATTATTGTTGTATTTCAATGAGCAAGCAAATGTGTAATCTGTTGCTTCTCTAGCAGGTAGTAGTTTTAAGACTTTTAGTTACCTCTTTATGTTAAATATTAATAATTTGAAAATATCAATAGTTCCTGTGACTTCTACTTTAGTGCATCATAATGCTGTCACACATTTGAAGCTTCTGCCAATCTGCCAACTGATTGCCGTAAGGACAGATCTGGACTCCTGATGACAGTCAGATAGACCATAAATTAATTTCACAGAAACTCTGGCACAGACTGCTCTCCCTCTAAATACTAAATATGATATTTTCATGTGCATATTTTTCTTTAAAGGATGTCTGTATCTTCTACAGTATAACAATGTTTTTAGGTTTGGTCTGTGTCTTACATGGGCATTCTAACCCATAGGGCTCCAAAAAATTTAATTTAGGTTTAATAAAATGATTAATATTTAATTATTAAGGTTGAAAGACTTAACTATTTATCTGAATCTTTATCTGATTTTTTCTGTATTTCTTGAAAAGATTACCCTTTAATTTATTTTTAAACAATTTAATGACCCTTTAGATATTTCCATATTTCCACATGAAAAACAATGCATATAGTCTTACCTGTGATCATGAGGAAACTTGGACCACCACTGTTGACAGGTGAGCCCACTCTTTGTGGTGAAAACTTTCCCTCTGTAGTCTTCCCCTTTGCCTACAATGCACTTTCTTACATAGACTGCAAAAAAAAGAGGGATTTCAAAGAGTCTAATACTATAAAGAGGACATGGATAATGATATGCACCAGTGATCTTTCACCTTTCTTTTCATAAAGATCACAGTTGACGTTTCTCTTGACTTCTGCGTTGCTTCCGTCAGCCACCCAGGGCAGGTGTTTACAAGTACCAATCGGACGGGTCTCATAGTTGAAAGCTCTGGAGATGAGAAATATTTTCATGTTTTTGGCAATGAATCCAGCTTTTAATAAAATAAAGGTATGAAGTCTGCAACCAAATAATCACCTAGTTATGCATGTAATGGAAAACTGCAATATGTGTCTGATGATTATTTTTCTTTCTTTTGATGCCAACTTTATCTATATAGCACTTTCTAAAAAGCTTGCACTGGGGGCCGCAAAGCAAGAACAATACAACTATTGAAATGTTAAAAAAAGGAAACACTCGAGAAGTCATAATTCTTTTGTTGAAAATATGTTTAATATATTTTGTGTATAAAATATAATTCAAAGAAAGTAAAAATTAAAAATAGTTAAGATGTCTAGATATATTTCATTCAAAAGTCAAAGAGTTGAAGTGAATCTTTAAAATTAGACTAGTTTAGAAGTCTCTAGATTGTAGCAGCCCTTGTATGGATCAATAAATGTCTGTTTTTGGATCTGCAACAGAGAAGACTTGATCCCCTCTAGCTTTCTGACCAAACCTCAGGACATCTAAAAGTCACTGGTTTTTTATGTGACTATTTGTTCGTTTGCCTGATTATGGGGTGCTTTAAATTTGATTCAGGAAAAACTGTTAAGAATATGTAATATGCAATCAACAGGAGGTCAGTGGAATGAAACAAGAACTGGAATTTTATATTCATATCTCTAACTCCTATTAAGAGACAAGCAGAAGGATTTTGTTTAAGCTGCAAGCAGTGAAGAGATGACAGATCTAAACTGACATAAAGTAATTTACAATATTTGAGAAAAGGTGGATTTCTTTTGTAGGAGGTTCATAGTGTATTCATCTGTAGAAGTAAGTTTCATGTTGTTTCATCATTTAGGAGCTTAACTGATCAAAGTTCCGACCCTGACAAGATAAAGATAGGAGGTCTCCTGCTGAATTGGCATCATGATTCATCCCATCTAACACGGCGGGGAAGGGGTTGTGCGTGGATGGAGTTTCTCCTCTCTTTGGGCAGCAATTAAGATGTTTAAAGTGACAGCAGAAGATAAAATTAACCTGGAAAAGGACAGCTTTAAGGTTTGGCTATAGGCTGCAGGCTGTGTTTGCGTGTTTAGACTAGTTTTTAGATAATCCAACTAGAAAATAAAAAGAAAATTTAAAACTTTTCTGTTTATACGTTAATATGCAGCATGCACCATATTTAATTTTTTATGCCAATCTTCCCAGTTGATATAAGCTATTTACTGCTTCCAAAGCATAATTGGATAAATTCTTAATTACCAAAAGACAAATGTTGATGGAATGTACATTTTCAAGAAATAATAAAGATGATGAATATCTAAATTAAGCCTGGAATGAGAATGCCCAAAAAAAAAAAAAAAAGAAAGAAATTGTGTTTTTCATTAAAAAACAGATACATTATCTGTTACATTTGAACCTTTTTCTAAAGTTACTCTTATTTATGAAGTGTAAAAACTTTTTGTACAGTTAAGTAGGAAGGTACTTCTGCTGATTTAACAGATGTTTTTGGAGCACATGTTTGGATTTAACGCTGTTATTTCTTGTAAATAGTATGATTTTATTGATTTCTTTTTACAGCATTAATTACTTTTAAAACCCATCAAATTTATTTTGCAGTTTATTACTTTGCAACCACTATCATTAATGTATTAAATGAGCTATTTCCATAGAGTAAACAAAGATCAACCTTTTCTGCCTTCTATCCAAATCTGAAAAGAACTGCCTTAAGTGCGTGTCTCTTCGACACTTTTAATTTTTCTTTGCAACAAAGTGGCACAAGCTCGAGGAGCTTAAATGTAAAGAGTATGTGAACAATTTTGGTACAAATTCTCAAACATAATTATGCTCTGAAAAAAAAAACATATTCCTTTGTAGCTCAGGTTCCATGCTTAGGGTAGAAAAAGCTGGAAAGTGAACTTCCTACATGGTATCAAAGCATGTGTAGACTGAGTCCTTTCTCTTTTTAGGCATTCCCAAAGGATGATGCCACCACCACCATTTTTCACAGAAGGTTCGGTGCGTGTAGATGGATGTAATGGTTATTTTCTGCCATACATGGCACTTCACACATATATCACAGTTTTACCTGCAGTCCAGAGAGTTCAAGCAGCGGCTTGCACATTCCTCCAGGCTCAAACCTGGCAACATCTGCATCCGAGCTAGGTTCCATGGGGTCGGAACGAGCTCTCTGCCCTCTGAGCGCTGGTAATCATTCAGAGGACTGCGGTGTCCTGTTCATGTAAGACCGAACCAAAAACATATTGCAAATGTGACTTTAACAATAACTTCTCTCTCATTTCATAGTCATGCCCAGTGGTAGATCAGTGGCACCACCAGGAACATTCAGGCATGGTCCTGCACACATATAACCTTTGGACCAAGACTCTTTAGTAACTTTTATCAGCAAATAACTCAAAACTAACTTATTAATGGAAATAATTTGCCACATCTTTTGATTTGTGTTCTTTCTAAATAATATCTGCTCCCTTTGAATTAAATTTTAAGTGTCTCTAAAAGAAAATAACATTTAAACCTTTAAAAGTCTTAACTACGTCTAAGTAAAGGAGAATCAGACACTTACCTGTTGTCCCTCCAGTAGTTAGGAGAATACAGAGAAGGATTAGCATCATCTTTCGTTTCTGAGGAAGATTACACTTCAGGAAAGCCTCTGAGTCTGAATTCATTTAATCTGAACTTGTTTACCAGTTGTTAAAATCCCCACACTAAGTCAGAAAGCTGAAGTCGAGAGACAGCCAAAACAGTCAAGACCAAAGCACTAAACTCTAAAACAAACAGTGGCCTTAATCCCCCAAACACAGCTAATCAATAGAGACATTAATCATTAATAACCAGGGACACGTTTGCTTCTGGCTGTAGTTCTCCACACGGACGCTAGGGGTCAGTAGAGTGATTCCTCCTCCGATGTTAGTTTCTGATTCTTCCTGTTTTGCTGGACTAAAGAGAAACCACAGCAGCTTGTTCGCAGCTTATTCTATTTTCTTGACTGAGTAATCATCACCGGAGGCGTTTGGGTAAGAATAAACTGTATTTATATTATCCTCGTGCTTGTCATCATGGTGCTAAATACGTGAAGTCAATATGAAACGATCTGAAGTGGACTTTGATCAAACTCTTTAAAAGTATTCACTGGGAAAAATGACAACAGCATCAACTGCAAACAGCAGAAAGAATATTTGTTTAAAAAATTACACGGTTTTAATTAAGATTCCCCTAAAACACGATCATTGTTGCTTAATGTTAAGAAATACAATAATATAGGAAGTAATGTCGCTCTGAAGCTGCTCTTGAAACTCAAATTTTCTTTCCAGTTGTGTAATAACCTGCAGAATTTTACATTTTCACGCTCAGTGGGTAGCGCTGCTGCCGTGCAGCAAGAAAGTTGTGGGTTCGATTCCCGGCCTGGAGTCTCTCTGCATGGAGTTTGCATGTTCTCCCTGAGCATGCGTGGGTTCTCTCCGGGTACTCTGGCTTCCTCTCACTGTCCAAAAACATGACAGTTAGGTTTATTCCTTAGGTGTGAATGGTTGTTTGTCTCTGTGTTGCCCTGCAATGGATGACCTGTCCAGGGTGTACCCCGCATCTCACCCATATACAGTTAGAGATAGGCACCAGCACCCCTCGCTTAATTTAGATTAAGCATGTCAGAATGGATGTTTCTCTGTCTGGATACAAGTGCTTTTACATCCATATTATAAAAGAGATGTTTCTCTCTTGTATCAGTACTTTTGTATTTTTCTTATAACACTTCTAAGAGTTTTTGTCATTTATAGTTTTACTCCACTGACATTAAATCTAGTGTTTTTCTTTTCTTAAAAAAAAAAAAAAAAATTCATTTGTTTGTTAAGACTTGTGCTCTATATCATGATTGAAAATATATAACTTCTCTTTAAATGTTGGTTATATTGTTATAATTTTCTTAGGTGCTGTAAAAAAAACTTTCCTTTTTTTAATCATCTACTTCTGCAGAACTCAGTGTGCAGCTGAAGAAATGTTATAACTAATCCAGTTGGGTGAGCTGCAGCAGAAACATGTGCAACTTGCAGAAGCTGAGTTGCCTAACGCTGTTTTAGAGATTTTATTGGAGAAATTATGCAACTTAAAGTTACAAGGATCTCTTTTTATGTTTCAGTTAAAGGTTAATTTCAGTAATAAAAGAATTGCTCTTTTGCTCCAGGATGTCAGCGGTTAAGATGAGCGAAGGCAGTGTGCAGGTGGAAACCTGCAAAGCTCCACTTTTCTACAGACAAAGCATGCCGGCTACAGGAGACCCAAAGATGTCGGTTCTTCTCCTTCATGGGATCCGCTTCACTTCGGAGAACTGGCTCCAAATCGGCACTCTGGAGACTCTTGCCAAAGCCAGCTGCCGAGCGGTTGCCCTCGACCTGCCAGGTGTTTCCAACGTGGACAAACCCACATTCAGTCTGTAGGACAAGACAAATCAGTCCATCTAGATAAATCAAAATTGATCTAGGTGGTTTGTCCTTGACCAAAGGGCTTCTCAAAGAAGACATGGTAAAGCTATTGTCACAAAGAAGCATTAAAAATTCAATAAGATACCACTGAAGTTAGATCAACTAATATATTACATTGAAAGTGAAGATCATCAGTTGGTTTAGAGCTAAAGAATGAGTGAAAAGAAACTGATAAACATAAAAAAAACAATGATTGAGTCCTTCAAGTCATAGATTATAGTAAATAACATATTTATGTATAGCATATTACATTTATGTCAGTAAATCTCTTTAATTATTACACACTCTAGCTTTAAAGCAGATGTAAAATGATAAGCAGATTTTTATTTGCAAATGAAGAGTTTGTCCACAGAAAGGAAAGGTTCCATAACCACTACTTTTTAAGTCTGAAAATCTTCCTTAAAAGTTAGTCTGTAGATGTCAGAGCTTTAGCTGGAGTGGTGTAGTGCACTGAAAAAAATATTCATGCATCTTTTGCATCTAGTTATAGCTAGCTAGTTACTTAAACACAAGAATTTAATGTCCTACCCCACTAACATGAAACAAGTGTTAAAGTAACTACATATGCTTAAGACAATGCAAAAGATGCAGAAACTAAGTATTAACCTCTTTTAACATCCACCTCATTTTGGGTAATCCTCACCTATTTTGCATACCCAAATGAAACGGCAAATAACTTAGGAACTGTAAGCCCAAATTACATGAGCAACACATTATTTGAAAGCTAAAAACCTCTAGTTTCCTAATATATAAATTGGCTGAGTAGAACAAAGACCAACCTGCGTCAGTTCAAACATGACTCAAAGTAGTTTTTTTACTCTCGAAATGATAGGTCTTTTTGAGGTAGTCAGTAGGTTTTATTGTATTACATTTGTTCTACATCATTTCAACCACAAATGCAGAAAATGTCAGACCTCTAGCTGTAACAGTTCCAGAGCTGTGGGGATTTGGAACTTTTGGTGGCAGCTTGGAGCTGCGCGCAACGGCTCCACCTGATGGTCAAAATTTAACGGTGGAATTTTATGCATTCTGAGTTATTACCCCCATTTAAGGTCCTCTAGGTCGGTTTTAAGAGATTATCCCTGTAATGCCAAATGTATCATATTTGATACATACGGTTTCTCAAATGTTTTGCCACCTTTCGCATAATTTAATGTTAAAAACTTTGCTCAAAATCCTATTGTACACAATCAGATAAACCTGATAACAGAGGGCAGAAGACTAGACAAAAAATAATCTTGACTTATCGCATAGTAATAAATTAGTAATATCAAAAATGTATTTCTGTTTTTTCTTTTTACATATTTTGTTAAAAGGCCAAATAAGGACTTCAAACAAACAAAAAAGTAATTTTCTGTTTTGTTTTATTCTTAGGTCGGGCTTTAAAGGCTTAAGGGGGAACACCGTTTTTCTTTCTTTTTTTTTTTTTTACATTGGGCCCTTGATTTTACGTTATTACCTCATGTTCTACTCACCCATATGAGTTTTGTGTCTTTTGGAGCCGTTCTGAACATATTCTGTTAGGTTATATCCTTTAGGATATTAGGATATAACCTAATGGATTATCTTCAGAACGGCTCCAAATGACACAAAACTCATATGGGTGAGTAGAACATGATGTAATAACGTAAAATCAAGGGCCCAATGTAAAAAAAACGAAATTTACTTTAAGCGTGTGGCAAACACTTAGAGCAGTTGTGGCCAAATGTTTTAGCCCAAATCATCAAGCATAAAGTACTTGCTTGATGTTTTAACACATGTTCTCCATAGAGGGTTGAAATTACTTTTCCAATTAAAAGCAGAAAATAATGTTTTGTTTGTTTTACCTGTTGAGCAATAACATAAACATGCAACATTTTAATGAGAATTTAAAGACTGAATTATTGTATTTCCTAGGGCCTCAGAGGCTTGTCTCATTAAGGAAAAGTGTGTATTTTCTCCAAACGATTTTATACTTAGAATTTTATTTTATTTATTTTTTCCTGTAGAAAAATAAAGTAGAACCTTATAAGCATTTACTGTATTTAGTCAAGTTTAATGTTGTGTTCTGTTTAGTAAAAGATACCTAGATAATTATAAGGTCCTTGAAAAAAAAAAAAGGTAAAATATTCTTGTAGACCAATCAGCTGAAAAATAGGGATTTAAATTTGTGTCATAAAATGCTTTCAATGGACCTCGTGATAATAATTGTTCAAGTAAATTGTAAGGTGAAATTATAAATTAGCCCGAGGGAAGAATCAGTTATGTCAATGCAAATCATAAGAAATAGATTTAGTATTACACTGCAAAAACTGAAAAAAAAAAAAAAAGAAATTTAAAATGTTTTTGCCCTTGAAATAAGATAATCACAGATTATTTATTCCAAAAAAGTTGAAAAAAACCTTTGTTTTCCAGGTTTGAAGACGTTTCGCTTCCCATCCAGGAAACTTTCTCAATTCAGAATATCTGGAATAGGGTTTGAGTACTAGGCTTATAAAGTGGCCCAAACAAAAGCCTTGTTATGGCTTAGAAAACATGCAAATTGAACTGAAAAAGTAAATCCATCTCTTAGTAATGGGGAATCATTGCTGCATTGAACTGCATACACCACTCCGCTCATCTTAGGTCTGGTGGTTTTATCTTTAGGATGCACCAGCTTCTGTCTAAGGGTCTTGTTTTGTTTTAAAGTAAAGACTTGAATAAATCTTTCTAAAATTGTAAAGAAAATCATTGATGTTAACATTTTGAAGAAGCTATTAAGATCAACAAGAAGCTTGAGTCCCCTCCACAGTGATACGTTTAGTCTTCTCTTTTAACACTGCTGTCCATCTTTCCTCAGAACTTGGTCAGTCCAAGTCGGCCAAAGCCCCAGCAGCTGTGGGAGAACTTGCCCCTGCAGGGTTCCTGAAGGAAGTGTGTGAAGAGCTGAGCTTAAACCCTGTGGTGGTGATCAGCCCCTCACTCAGTGGGATGTATTCTCTCCCTTTCCTCATGGAGCACCAGCCTCTAATACGAGCCTACGTCCCCATAGCGCCGATCTGCACTGAAAAATTCACCGCTGAGCAGTACCAGAGTGTGAAGGTATTTATATTAGATTAACTTTAGCTGTAAGTAATAATAACTGGATATGTTTCTAATCAATCATGAGTCTTTGTTTGGGTGTTTAGGTCCCGACGCTGATCGTTTATGGCGACCAGGACACTCAGCTCGGGGAAGTGTCGCTCCGTAACCTGAGCCCTATAACCAATCACAGAGTGGTGG